ACAGCAGCCATTATACTGCAGTTACCATTAAGGGTCAATTATGTTAAATAAAAAAGGAAAAATACGTATTCTGTTAAAGCAATTATCTCAATAACAATGGGTCTAAAGAGGCTTTTATTCTTTCCCATGGGTGGGATGTGAAGGCACACACTTTCAATACTTGCTGTTGTAATCAACTAAAGAAAGATGTGGTAAGAACAGAAGCCCAATCCAGTGTGATAAAGCACTTTACATGTTAATTTTTCCAAATTGATATCTTAAAAGGAGTCACAATACTAGTATTTTTATATTATGCTTTTCCTGAAAAATCCCATACTTTTCATCTCCAAATAACTTGGGATGTTATTTTTCAGTGCTTTCTAAATCCTATTCAATAAGTCCAATAATTCTGATAGAATATGGTATCTGTGTGTAAAATAACTACAACAGAGACAGTGAATGGCAGAACAAAATGGCTAGACTTCTGTAAGAGCTGGTAGGAAGAGGAAAATCTGAACTGAATCAGTGGGAAGGGTAACTGTGTATGGAAAAGGGCCAATCTCGCTATGAAATCTATGTAGATTTGGGTTAGGGTTACATAGATTTGGTCTAGAGATAGTGGTGGTGTTCATCCCCTGATTTGTTACTACCTATTTTAGAAACGGTTCTACTAAAAGTAGAATGTGCTCCAAATGATTCAAATGGCACCTTAGTTTGAAGTTGCTGCCATTCTGAAAGTACTTTTTTGTTACTATAGTTTTATTTAATCTGAAATGAGAAATTGTCATTTCTAACATTACAATCTGGCCTAAAATCAAAAGAACAAGATCTTCAAGATTCTCCAGCCATTACTCAGTTTTAACTTTATCATCCTCAGAAGTTTTAAAGTACAAAAGGATGAAACCTTGAGTAACATGATCTTACCACACAACTGGCCCAGACTATGGCAAGAAGTTAGACTTCCTTGATGCCTTCCAACTTGGATTATCCTAAGATTCTTAGCTTGTGCTTCTTGTACTAATAATTGAATTTCCATTTGAATTTAGCCAACAAACAGAAGCAGAATGTCAAAAAAGTAAAGCTCACTGAGCATCCTTAGGAAGCTATGGACGTTTTGTGGAAAGTAACATATGAACTGGCTTTTGCTAAAGAAGCTTTTTGCTAATATCAGGACAGAGCTATGGCTCTTCAAAGTCAGGAAAGTAAGTAGAGATAAGCTGACTTTAACTGACAGGGTTTACAGTGAGGGTAGAAGGGAGCCTGGATGCCTAGGTTAAGGGGTGATGCTGTGGGCTGATGTGTGCCCACTCACATCTTTTTATGGGCTGTTTTGTGATGCAGTGGACTGTTCGAGTCCTGTTTCAAATGTGTGTTATCTGTGTAGTATTAAAGTATGTACTGTTAAATTTGCCTTTCAGATATTTATTTGCCTTAGCTTATCTCTTTAGGTGATTATAGGGAGAAGTGTAGAGAAGGGGAGATTTGTAAGACTTTAGGAAAGACATTAAGTCAATATAGCACTAGAGATACATAAGATAAAAAAAATTAGTTATTTTGAAGAACAGCAGCAGAACAGCAAGTGTTTGGGAGGCCATTCAAGTGCTTGAGTACATGTATTTTGGAATGAATATGAGATAGGGCCTCTGAGAAATGTGTGCTTTTGGAGCCATGCAAGATACCTTGGAGTTCTTGAAATAACTCCAGACACTGCTGGTGACCTTTGCCATATGATATTACTACAAAGTGGCAAATTTTGAGGCTAAGCAGAGCATTGTAGGGACTATAAAATAGAGCATTCTGGCTATAAGATGCAAAATTACAGCAAAAGAAGAGAAGGAAAAGTCTCCTGGGAATTAGCCTGTTAAAACAGTTCAGGTTTTAAGAGCTGAAAAAGAGAAGCTGCTGATTTCTTGTGGAAAAAATGGTTGAAACATAAAGTTATGCTTAACAACAAAATATACTTAAAATCTGAAAAATAGTTTTCTGTATTTGAACTGAGTAAGTTTGATGCGGTTCTCAGTGTATTGGACTTTGGATTAGTCTTGTTTTGAAAGAAAATTCCTGCTGCTTGTCTTTTGGGACACTAGGAATGCTATATAAAGCTCTGCGGTACCTTGGCAACAGTTAAAGCAGATGAGCTAGAGGCAAAGGTTTTTGTTTTTACTTTTATGTGATTTCTCTGGAAAAAAAGGTACATATGGGCAAAATAACAGGAAAAATAAACCAAACCTGCCTTCATATACTTATTTTTACTTGGCTGAAAAACAGGAAAACTCTGACGAAGCATGACAAGTTGCATAAATTTCTTGGTATCTTCTCTACCATGTACAGTGGGAATATCCTGAAGAAAGCACTGGACATTATGAATGCAGCAACAGAGGTGGAATAATAAGAGGAAAAAAACTGTAAATTCTGAAGTATTTTTGCTTCCAGGAAGGTGAAGCAACTGATTCTCCTTTACTTGCTTTGCTGTAGTGGAGGCACAGAAGTGTTGCTCAGCAGCTTAGGAAACTCCACTTCAGGCTCCCTCATTGACGAGCATGTGAATGTCCTCTTCAAGTCTACGTTACTGCTACCACACTTCTTTGGCCCTGTTTACAGCCTCCTAACAGCTCTTTTTCCTGGGTATCGGCTCTAAGTTCTTGTGACTAGGTAAAATGTGAAGGTCTAATGGCCAAATAATGTTTATTCATGCTGCTTCCTTTGTGCACTATTTAATGTTGAGATTTGCCTTTCAAATGAATGGCTCTGTGCCCTGAAAGTACTTTGCTTCTAGCTTCTAGGGAACATTTTAACAGCCATTTAGGCAAAAAAGCAGATTCGCCTCCAGTGCCTCCAATTACAATTATGTTTACATAGTTACTAATGGCATTTGCAATAATGCAGCATTTTCTGCACGTTTTCACAAATGACTCTCACAACTATGACTTTCGAGAAAAGGCTAAGTATCTCCAGTAGATTTTACTCTTGAGTTGATCAGGCTTTACTACATTTTTACAACACACTGCGCTGCTGCAACTAAGATTTCATCATCAGATACAGACAGTTATCCTCGCCAGCATGCTGTGGGGTCTGAGCATGCAGATATCTGAAGGTATCACACTCAGCATATGTCTTTTCTAGAAGCTAGAAATAACAAAATGCCTTTGGTTCACTTAATGTCTCCCAAAAAAGCATACAATATATGGACATCCTCATCCAATAAAGGTAGAGTTTCCAAACATCAAATTGGGCTCAGACTACAGAATAGGCTGGAAAGTATGATTAACTATATAATGGTTGATTTTCTTTTCCATTTTGTACTCTCTGGAGAACCAAGCATCAGACAGTTCCCTTGTCAAGGAGAAAGAACTCTGTAAGTTTTTTCAATTCGGTGATAAACTTCAGAAAGTCATTTTGTCTTGCTCTTCCTGGGTCAAACTTGCCCACTTCTGCTGTTACCTGAGCAGCCGTGGCAGTCATTTCATATTATTTTTTTGTCTCTGTTCCTGCCTTAGCCAATGTACGAGGCATTTGCAATTGGAAAAAGTAAGTTTTTAGATAACAGGATATAAATTAGCACATTGAGTACATCGCAGAGGAAAGCTCAAAACTATATATATACTTAAAATATGTGTGTGAGAGAGAGAGAATAACTATAGTGAACCTCACACTACATTGCAGTTATTTTGAAAGTTAGCACTGATAAAATTGTTACACACCCAAACATAGTTTGTTTTCCTGCTGAAAACATAGCAGAACACCAATGGCAATTTTTATGTGGAAGTGCATCATATTTCTATGGAAATGCGGAACGAAGCATTTCCATATTTGAATAAATAAATGTTGACAAGTATTTGGTGATTAACTAGATTGTACAAGCAGTCATGCGTTTTTCAATACTGTGTGGTCTGCAAGGCTCAGGATACTTCTTCAGCTGAGAACTGGTGTGATGTACAACACCAGTATACAACAATGAGCGTTTGGATTATGATCTTATTTTTGCCTTTTCATTCTTCGCCAGTGTTCTGAAATTAAACTGAGTGCTAATTTATTGCCCTCTGTTGTTAGCAGCAGGAGATGTCAGAGACTTTGGAACCTGATAGAGAAAATCTGTTTTTCACTCTGTGACCACAGTTTTTGAGCACCGGTGATTGCCAAGATTTGTCTATGTGCTCTTTTGATATTATGAGTGCCAACACAAAAATGTAGCGAGGATTTTGTTTGAAAGGTTCTTTTTTGAATACATACCACAGCCCCTTCAGAGAATTCTTGTACCCACAGCTAGCAAAAGAGAGAGATCCTTCTAAGCTTGTGCAGTCAAATGGTGTTGGGTTGTCACTGGGCAGTTATGTAGTATGACATGAGATCAGAGGTACTATCCTGTCTGTACAGTGGTAAAATTAATGGATCACATCTTTCCATACCTCATTCTTTGCTGCAGCTCTGTATGAAATGTTCTACTACATGTCAGAGGAGGCAAATTTCCTTTTTCTATTAAAAGGACAACCAATTTTTTTCTTGAGAAAAAAAAAATAATTAAAGGATTTTTTTTTTTTTCCACAAGTGAGTTGGGAAAAATAACAGGAAAGATTTTGGAGATGTAGTTTCTGATTCTGAACAATGAAGGAGCTACAGATAAGTAGCTCATGGCTCAGTATAAGACCTGATCTCTGTGGCCATCCAAATTATTATCTTTACAAAGTGAAGCAACTCCAAAAAAAAAACAACATTGAGAATGAAAGTGGCCAACTAACTATAGTATCCACCAGGAGCTTGCTTTAGAAGGAAGATGCCTTGTTCAAAATTCTTAATTCTGTGGTGCCCATTCCTGGACAGATTTCCCCTGAACAAGTGCACATGCTTTGGTTTCTTGCTGCTACAAAAAAAAAATTCAAGATCCTTTCATTCCAGATGGGAATTTCTTCCTTTTGCCCCTCCCAACTTTTATGTGAAACAGAATTTCTACCTTCTGACCAGCTTAGTTAATTTTGAAAAATATTCTAATTTAAGTTAATCACATCCCGTTTGAACTCAGGTACCTCCAATTTTGCAGACACTGTAGCATATAAAGCTCTCTGTGGCATGCAGCAGCTCTCTGCAGCAGGCAGAAAAGTCTCCTGGCAGGCCAGGAACAGATGGAGGGGAAATGAGGGGATGCGAGTTCTGGAAGAGAACATAACACTGTTAAAGAAAACACTGGAGAAATATTACTAATTGGAAGGAAGGAACACTGGAAAGAAGGCGAGAAGGGAAATAGGGGCTTAATCTCTCAAGAGAGAAAAGGGCTTGAAAGCAAAAAATGAATGAATAAGAATTTCTGCTTGAGTCAAATATACACCAAATTAATAAGAGTTTTTACCTGGGATTTCTATTCAAAATGTTATAATACCTGGGTTTTTTTTTTACAAGTGCAGAAGAATGAAATTCCCAGTGTCTTGCACAAGACCGTGTTCATGGTTTGGATGCCAACTGGTAGACCAAGTCTATTATGGAAGGAAACAAATTGCTGTCTTGCATTTCTGAAAAAGACTGACATTTCCAAAATATTGCAGGAAACGCCTTCCCGAAACTGACTCCACTTTGTTACTTCTCCTTCCTTTTAATTCTGGGAAACATCTCTTGCTGAGCCAGTTGGCTGGAATTTCTTGGCTATGAGAAGACTTTTGAATGAAAAAAAGGGTTTCTTAGAGAAATGATGTAAGTAGAATGTGAGAGCACACAATCCATACCTCATGCAACATGTCTCTACCTGTGTTTTTACAAGCATGTTTGTTATAAATTCAGATCTAGTGTGAATAATATCCCCTCCATTCACAATTTGCCTACTTGTCAGATTTGTTATGTAGGCTTAACCAGGCTGGAATAGCATCACTTTGAAAATGAACTTGCAGCTCACCAAGAAAACAAACAAACAAACTAACTAAAGCACTATTTAAGAAGCTCTCAAATTTTAAACCAGCACCCTTCTTCAGTAAACTGCCAGTAGGTTTTTTTCATTATGTAATTATTTTACTTGCTGCAAATCTCTATCAAGAATGGTTTTTAAGAAGATAAGAGTTTTTATTAATTTATCTGCTCATGAGGGTTACTCCCAGATTCTCATTACTTGGATATTTCAGCATTAACTATAATAAATAAAATATAATACTTTCCTAAGCAAAGGAGAAAAAATAAACAAACATATAAGTGTTAATCATAATAGATGGACACATCACAGATGAATGACTATATATATAATTTCTTGCAGCAAGTTAAAATGTGGGGACCAGGAACTAAGTGTTGGAGTCAGAAAGCCTGAGATGTGTTGCCCCATTTCAGAGGATGGCATGGAAATGTGTACAGGAGAGCTGGGTGGGTATAGTGATTTTGTAGAGGAGCATGCATTTTACTTCTCTGACAAAATGCTAATAACCTCTGTGCATGTGTTTATCTATATTTCCATGACTGCATAGAGAGAAAAGAGAGAACATTCCCACAAAAAACAAAGATTTAATGATCACTTTTAGTTCCACAAACCATTTGCCTGCTGCTTTGCTGTTTGCTTTGGGAAAAATGGTTTGTGATTTTCAGTGCCCAGTTCTGGAAGGGGCAGGCAGCGCAAAACCTGTAGGATGATGCTATTACCATCCTGTCTGTTAAATTGGGACCTGGTGCTTCAGTGGTAATCAATGTGCAAGAGCCCTGCAAGAATACAGGCAGGTTTTGCCTCAAAGAGCCTATAGTCTAAGCAGAAGCCAAATGTAATAGAAAGAGTGAAGAATATAACCCATTTTAGGGAAAGAGTGCTGGAGAATATAAGAGCCAAACTTAGTGACAACGTTTTCAATATTTCCATCCTCCTGCATGGAGCCAGGAGTTGGATTCAATGATCCTTGTGGGTCCCTCAAACTTGGGATATTCTGTGATTCTGAATTTAAGGATCAGGTCCCACCTTTGAATTATGAAAGCCTCACAGCTGCTTGCAGCAAAGCTCAGGAGACCTGAAGAACTGCTCTCAGCTTACTGGCCTGCCTGGTGTCTGCAAGCAGTTTACTGCCCGACCTTCGTGCCCTGTGACCCCAGAGCAGCAGTCTTTTGAGTAGTCAGCTGGCAGATCATACAGCTGCAAGGAAGGAAAAAAGCCCTTCCAGGGTCATGGGGATGCAGCTCCCAAATAACTTGCAGGAAGACTGCAGGAGGAAAACCCTCTATAGCCAATTCTGCCTCTGTGCATGCACATGTAGATTCTGTTAATATCAAAATGACCTTGAGCTCTAACCACAGCTTGCTCTCCTTATTGCTGAGTTTATTGCAGATAATGAGTGTGAGAAATGGATTTCTGCATTTAGGAAGCTCCACTCTCTGGTAATTCAAGAGCTTGAAGCCTGGCTTTGTTTGCAACACCCTCATCACGCTAGCATACCTGAGTGTGCAAGGCTTAGCACTGGAGGGTCTGCAAACCTGAAAGTTCCTCATTATTTGCAGATATCACAAAGACAAGCCCAGAGCTGCTGAATCAATTTGAAGAGTTGATATACAGGGGAGGTAAGTATAGCACAGCAGCAAAAAGAAGTAAAATCCACCACTTCAGCATATTTGCAGAGTTCTGAAGCAGTTTGTAATGGATCAGATTTTCCACAATGTCTGAATGCTCTTATCATCAGAGGGCTGCTTATCATCAGAATGGAGACAGCTTGCTTTCAGTAGGCAACTTTGTTCCTTGTGTTATTTTTCCTTTTCTTTATGGTCTCTGTTCCCTTGTGTCTGTTCTCTGGTGTCTAGGGCTTGCAGTGAGGTACTAAACCAGGGTCAGTGTTCTTCAGCCTCACTATGGTAGTACTGCTTCTAAGTGAATGGTGTATCACCCCTGGTGGTGGTGGTGATAGCTAGCAGGTGTAACTTTGTGGGAAGACAGCAGCCCGCAGTGTCTGTATTTAGTGTTCTTGTTGCATTGCTTATCTTCTGTGTTTTCTTGCTGTGGTTGTACCCACCACCTCCAGGCTGCCACACCACAGAGATGCCCTCTCCTCCCTCCAATACTGATTTGTAGTTCTCACTTCTTCCCTTCCAGGAGCCCTTAATGGGGAGCTGGATCAGGGGGCTCCAGTTTGAACAGGGTTTGGTGTGAAACTGTACTCTGAGCCTGTACCATGTCATAGAATCAGCAAATGGAATAGGTTGGAAGGGACATCAAAGACAATGCAATTCCACCCCTTGCCATGGGCTGTCTGCTCTCCACCAGATCAGGGCCCAGGGCTCCATCCAACCTGGTCCTGAACACCTCTGGAGATGGGACACCCACAGCCTCTCTGGTCATCCTGTGCCACTGCCTCAATCCTCTGTGTAACAATTTTATTTCTAACAACTAACCTAAATCTCCCCACTTTCAGTTTAAAACCATTCCTTCTGTTCTTGTAAAAAGTCAGTCTCTCCTAATTATATGCTCTCTTCGAGTACTGGAAGGCTGCAATGAAGTCTCCTTGGAGCCTTTTCTTCTCCAAACTAAGTCCAACTTTTCAAAGTTTTTACACAAGAGAGGTTCTCCAGCCCTTTGATCATCCTTGTGGCTGTCCTCTGGACCTACATCAAGAACTCCATGTTTTCTTTGTGCTGGGGGCCCCAGGCCTGGACACAGTACTCCAGACAGGTCTTCACATGGGCAGAGTGGGAGACAATCCCCTCCTTTGCCTTTCTACCACCCCTGTTTTGATATGCCCAGGATACAATTGGCTTTCAACGCAGCAAGCACATACTGCTGGCTCATACTTTTCTATTTGGTCATTGTGATTTCAGACCAGTCTCTATTGGACAAACCAAACCCCTTCTCTATACAATGCTCACCAAGGCATGTCTTCTTCCTTAGCTGTGCTAGGAGAGGGGTTCATCTAGCTTTCTGTTCTCAAAAGGTAAAGATATATGTGGCAATGTCACTTTAAATCATTACTGCCTCACCTCTCCCTAGTCTGCCCCACTGCTGTTACCAATCCAGTCCTGTAGGTTGTGACACTTTTGCAGATGTCACAAGAACTGAAACGGTATCACCAGCTCAGGAAATAGATTCACTTCAAGAAAAGTCACTTGTTTAATCTTTCCCTGATCAGAAATGCTGTACAACAGCACAAGGAGAAGAAACAGAAAAGCAACTGCACTGCAGATCCATTGTGCAAGGAGAAGCTGGAAGCTTCAGGCATCTGCACCCAAAGTCACACCAGCTGTAGAGCATCGGCTAAGAACAGCTTCTGCCTCCACTCTGAGGCCCTGTTTGTTAGCAGTCTCACATGTGCTGAGCAGGAGCACACGTTTCATGTGTGCGTGTGTTAAATTTGAAGTATGCGAGAAAGAAGAGAGACCAATGTTTAGATAAGGCAGGGGAAATCCAAGAGTGGAGGAAGGGTTCTAAAAACTATTGGTGACAAAAGAACAAGCCTGGCTTATGAGTAGCTTTTAAAGAAAAATCAGGTTTTAAGTGGCATTTTGACAGAAGATATTTATTCTCTCTCTTTCTCTTTTAAATTTCATATTGATTAACATTGCTAATGAGCTCAGGTGTACATTTATGGCTGACTTAGTTACAGGGACGGAATGTATTTGTTTTGAAAGCAAAACTCTGTTCATTATTCCTGGATTTGCAGTAAGATTTTTTTTTTCCTACTCTTCCTTTTCTATTCCTACTTTTTCTACCGTGAAAACAGTGGGGTTTGGGTTTCTAAAAGCCTTTTGCCTTCTTCTTTCCAGGAATAAATACATTATCTAAAACTGCCTGTTCCTAAGCACTGAATTTTAGCTTCTTGATAACTAACAGGCTAAAATTCTCCCCAATTCGTCTTGTTTTCTATCTGGAAAAGAACTTTAAATGTGGTAACACTTGCTCTGAGATTTTTTTTTCCTAGAGTAGATATGAAATCTTTAATTTGGGAAGCTCTAACTCGAGAGGAAAGGCTGGTCTTTTCTGTTGGGTTGGCAGAACAAAATGTTCAGGTAACTCTGACTTACTCATTTAATCTTGTTCTAGCATGTACAGGGCTCAGTGGAAAACCTGACAGAAGTGTTCTGGAGATGTCTCTGCTCTGGCCATCCCATCATCTTTATTAACTTAGGTACACTTATCTCTTCTCTTTATGTTTGTTCTCTTCAGACTGAAAAGACAGATACATTTAGAAGTTTCTGAATGATTCTGAAGTATAAAGATGCTTCTCTTCAATGAGAATTCCTCAGTGAATTTTCAGGAAAAAAAAAGCAGAAAAGGTTGTAACCGTATGACAGATATTACACAATATCCTGATAATTCAGATTTAGAGATTTTGCTATAAAAAGAAATATACTATTTTCTAGCTCTGTTCAAGCTTCTCTAAGAAAATATACACAACTGCTAAAGATAAGAACACATTCTAATCTTAGGAGGTGGCATCTGTATGATTACACACAACGTATCAAAACCAAGGATTCTAATGACAAACTTTGAACTATTTTGGCTGCACAACTATTTTGTTATTACTGTTACTATACACAGCCTACTGCCTACAATACTGAGTAATGGAAAATGAATAGCATATATTTCAACATTTGGTCCTTTTTTTATACCATTCTAATTACAATTCCAGTTCTAAGCTGTTTATAAGCGTCTTATAAATCTTGCTTTCACTGTATTTTTTTCATTTTAATATAAATATCAGAAGTAAATCAATAAAGTTGTTCAAAGGTGAACTGAAACCTTTCTTTGTTACACAAGAAGCAACTCAGAAGGTTTAGTCTTTGCCATTCAGTCAGTACAGATGAGACAGGTCAGCAGCATAAGGTACAAGCAAATCCACACTGTGGCACAAAGTTGACAATCAAAACAATAAGCAGTGAGAAAACACTGAGGGCACACAGAAAGAATTGTCAGTGCCTTTTCCCTGGTTCTTGTTAGGTAAGTTCTCAGCTGAAAATGAAGTTAGCTGCTTGTACTTTCTGTTCTTTCATAGCTAAAACAAATGGAACACACTGACTGCCCTCCAGACAGATCATTTTCCTCACATAGCCCATACCCAACAGTCCCTGTGTCTTTGGCATCCTGAGCACACTGAAATAAAGCTTTTTTTTCCTGTAAATGTTTCACCTCTGCAAAATCTGCCAACCTAGCACGCTGCATCAGTGATAATTATTTTCTTCCTCTGTTCCTGGAATGTTAATGATGCCAGTTCTTTTCTAATTAAGCTAGAAACATATTAAGAATTCAAGAAGCAGCTTCGCAAAGGTAACAAACTACTGAATTTAAATAATGACAACTTTTTATATGAAAAAGAAGTGAAAGCACGTACCTTGACTGCAAATTTGCTACTGAGGAAGTACAAACAAGTGAGTGCAACACTTCTCAGTGAGCAGCCATGCTCCGTCTGTTGTATGAATGAGTGTAACTTCTGATCTGCTGCCCCTCCCTGAACAGAGCATCCCTCCGTTAATGACATCATATTCCTGGACTTTCTGCTGTACTATATTTCATTTCAGGAGTGCAGCTTGTTTGCTGTAACCAGCATGAGACCACTTGTATTTGACTAGGGGTGGTAAACAGTACAAATCAAGTTGAAGTAATGACGTCCCACAGAGTGTGTATGAAACAGCCATGTTTGTTTGCAAAGAGCCTCAAACATGTAAATGTGTGAGCGTACACACATACAACCTCAATCCTGATTTCAGGTGATGGTGTATTTTATTTTTAACTGCTGATAGACTTAACCAAGAGCTAAACAAGCTAGTTTCTTGCAAGATTCAAATCTTTAAAACTGAAAATAACATTTGTAATCTTACATTCTTCTTTCTCATGGGAAGAAATTTAGTGTTTATATTTCTCAAAAACAAAAAGCATTGCTCTTCCTCAGCAGAAATCTCTATTTGTACTCAGTTAGCTAGGAACAGAAATTCCAAGTACCATTTAAAGTTTTAAGGGTTACCAGAATTTCTCCTAAACTTTGGAAGAAACGTCTGTAGAAAACAGTCATACACAGAGAGAAGAGTCTTTTTCCTTTGACAGTGACTTTTATTCTGAATTTGAGATCACAGCAGAGCTGATTTTTCTGTGTTTGTTAGAGGCATAGCTGTTTTTCTTCTATTTATATAATTAAACTGAAGCCTGAAATGGCAGCCATGGTTGCAGAATTTCATACAAAGAATACATCTTCATTCAGAGGAAAAATTAACAGAGAACAGTCTGCTCCCTGTGTTTCACACATATAACTAATTCTGAAAGTAAATGATTTAAGAAAAAAACTCACAGCTAATTATAGCCTATGTGGTCTATTTTGTGATCGATTTTATCTGTCAAAGTATTTGGCCCCCACTCTCCACTTCTTCATTTATTGTTTTAGAATAACACCCATACTTCTTCCAGCAGGACTAAATGCTTTGATTTCCATTTATTTCCCTTTTCTTTTTTCCAAAGCTGTTCTAATACAAGTAATACATTTTCTTTCTTTACTGCTGAAAGTTGAGTCATGCTTTCTTATTAGCCATGTCTTCTGCTCTGCGTTTCCCTTGAAATAGTTTTAGCTTGATCATAAAATCCCCAAACTCAAATCTTCCAAGGTCTCAAGGTCTTCATCCTGAATTCCTCATCAAGTTTTAACTTCTAAGTCTTGAATAAAAATTTTAGAACCATACTTCAGAGTTTCTTCCGTATTCTTTTTTCCTTGAACATAGCTTTAACTTACTCTTGCAACTGTAGTACTGCAAACTCCTGCTTTGTTTTTAAAATATCTTTTATTTGCTCATAAGAAGGATTTGGCAAGCTCATTTGTAGCAGCATAATGAACCCCAGCTGTGGAGAGATCTACTCTGCTAAACCTGGAGAATGCAGGTGGCCTTTTGAGGAGCAGGTGTGGGGAATTCTACCCTCTCCATGAGGCTGAAGCAGGTGCTGCTGGTAGCTCGTTGGCTACCAACACTTACTTCTGAAAGGGGAAACAAATACTCTTGTTCTTTTCAAGGGCTTCAGTGGGGCTAAGCTCTGCAAAGGAAGAATCGTGACTGGGTGTGAGGAAGTGATAAGAACATGAGTGGGGCTTTGTCTGCAGCTGTTAAGGAGATAAAATGTGAAATCTTCAAGTGTCTTAACATAAAGTTGGAACAGCACGAACTCAGATGATGAAGATTTCTCCTTTCCTATCCCACCATTTTCTTGTTTTCCAGAGGGTAACTGAAAGGCTGCAACAGGCCACAGCTGAGAGTCATAACTTGTAATTGTGAAAGCTCTAATCAGCTTGAACTTGGTTACCTGTGAGCATTATTGCTTGGTTAGCATTTTGCTAGGAAATTGGAAGAGAGGATAGCTGAATGTTCCCTTCACTAACTTAAACAACAAATGGTGAGTAAATGAATATGATGAGAAAATTTGTTAATTTGTTATTTAGGCCTATTATAAGTGCTTTCTCTGAGAGGAAGTCTTGCTTAGTGACTTTACTGCTTATTTGTTGCCCTTTTCTAAGAGTGTTTTTTCTCTATTTCTGGCTATACTGCTAACAGTTTGGTTGTCTTTGTATCCTAGGGTTTGGAAGAGGGCAGTAATTCTCTGTTTCTGTTAAGGAATTACAGCTTTGGTTACTGGTACTTGATCAGGAATTCCTTAGAATGGAGGACTTGTGTCCTTTTTCAGGCAGGTGGGAGAAACTATGCTCAGGTCTTCCATTGCTTTCAGGGAATATTAAAAGTTATGTGTGCATGTAGGTCAGGATCTTAGAACAATTTTTTTCTTGCAGCTATGTATGTGTATTTGCTTCCTGTAAAAACTTCCTGTCTTACCCAAGACTTAATGACTAAAATAATAACTAGAGAGACTTAGCTATCTTCTTTATCTTGTTATGCTTTATTTCCTTACCCTTGTCTATATCTGATGCTCTAAGATAAATTGTATCTGGACTGTTCTTCATCGTTAGTGAGATTTTTGTGTAATCACTGAGCAGTAGTTGTTTTGTTTGTATTTTGGTGGAAGTATTCACCCCTTTTGGTTAGCTGCATTTTTCTGGAATAAGAACTCTTTTTCTTTTGGTCTCCTCTGTATTTCTGACTTTTCATAGAATGTGTGCTTATTTTAAAACTTTATTTCTCTTGTTCATGTAGAAATGGCTTTTTCCCTGTAGCGAAGTTCTTGTGTCTTTCTTGTATCATAAAGGTTATTGATTTGTCAGCATTTAGAAGCTGTGTGAGCTACTGAGTAGTTGTAAGGGAGTGAGGTTTGAGAATCTTCTAATAAGATGAAGGTTAGCTACAGATAAAATATTGACAGAGAAGCAATGTTAGTTGTAGAAATAAGGGGAAAACTCACACAATCTCTTGTTTGAAAACTGGTTTTGCTGAGTGTGGTATTTTAAAGGATACAGTCAGAACCATACCTCTTCAGCTCTGTGAGAAGGGCAGCGTTCATCTTTGGAAGTAGTAGAAGTGATTTCAACCTACCTCTACAGAAAACCGTAGAAGGGCTTGAATGCTGGGGTGTTATCTTAGCAGTAAAACTACTCTCAGCTGAATAGCCTGGGTTTGAATCTGCATTTAATGATACCAAGCAAATGATAATGGAGTAAATGAAGAAAGCAAGGGACTCTGCTTTTCCTTTCCATGTGGGCTGTAGCAGGTAGCACTACTGGGATGAGAATGTCCATCTGTATGAAGCAGAAGCAATTTTTTTTTTTAAACCTGTGTGTGTGACATCTCTCATTAGAGGAACCATCATTGTAAATGAAATTCTTGGTCCTGCTTTTTCTTTGATGTGGACCATAACTTGGCTGCACTAATAAAGATGATAATATTGCCCTCAGAAGGAGCTAGATGTCAAATGTCTTATTTTGCAACTCAGTTAAGTGGTCATTATGTAAATCCATTCCTGCAATGATACCTGACTTTTCTCTTTCACTGAGTATTGACTTAATAGCTTTTTGTTGATCTTGAAGCCTGCTTTCCCTGAAGAAGTTGAGGGGTAGAAGAGAGTCTATTTCCTATGAGCTTAAACTGCTTGTATTTTAAGAGCTAATGGATTTTCAGTCAAAACCAGCCATATACCTCAAGGAACAATGTATTCTACATATGTTTGAATCTTCTGTGATTTATATGAAGACTGTACTGACCTCCCTGATTTGGTGAACGACAGCCCTAGTGAGATAATACAAATCTCCACAACAGTCCTCATAGCTATTCAGATCCACACATGATAATGTACATGAAAGGGAAGTTTAGTTGATGTATTAGTAGTACACACAGTAAATTACTGGGCAGTTTGTTTTTGTAAAACTTTCTATGTGTCCTTATACTTGTTCTTGTTTGCTTTTGTTGTTAGGTTTGTACATCGTTACGTGTGTTGTCTTCTAGCATCACTTTGCCAGATTCCTGGTAACAGATTTTCCACCACAAGTTGTTTTGAATACATGGAATTAATTAGGAACCTGAGAGCTGTGAAATACAATAGTGTTTGCTTGGAGGTAGAGGAAACACTGATTGGCAGGAAAATATTTTCCCCTTTCCTGAGACTTAAATATCATGCTGAAAGTTGACAAATGGATAGCTTAATCCCATCTTGTCTCTTGATCAGACCAAACTTCTGAACTTCATTGCCATGCATTAAACTGTGAGGTGGTTTCGCCTGTTCCAGTGGGTCTTTGTTGATCAGCCCTATGAGTGCAGTATTTTGGGTGGGTTTCATGAGAGCGCAGCAGAGAGAGAGGATAATCACCTCCTTCACCCTGCTGGCCATGTTTCTTTTAATGTAGCCTAGGATACTGTTGGCTGTGTGCATTTGCAACCCAGAATGCCTGTTAAACAGATGCAGCTGCCATCATTCAGTCAAATCCAAGCTAAAGATATGGATAGGAAAAACTTGATGATCACAGTAATTAAAGTAATTAAATCTAAGAGTGATAGCTCCAGATAGCATTGCAGTTTTACCTATTCTAACCTTATTATAGGGACAAATGGCTGGCTGTGACTAATTCCTGCCACAACCTGCAATAAGTGTGATTCCATCTGCTTTTTCTGAGTGCTGATTGTTTCTAATTGTTATTGCAGGGACTACTGCTTCACATGTTTGAATTCCTTTATTGGGCACTTATTCCTGAGTGAGGTGCAGAAAAGGACAGAAAACCATTGAGTTGTAACAAAACTCGGTGTGAGATTGTAAAGAAGGAGAAGATCATTGTTTTTCCTAGATTAGTTAACTCCATCCTTTCATATTCATGAAAACCTAGCTGTGTATGCTGGAATTGTCTCATATGGGATGTGGAACTCTGGCTACTGAATCTCTGCTGCATCTTCCAGTTCCCTTCAGATTGATGATAATCAGTTTTTGAACATGCATTTATGTAGCCATGGCAACCAATTGCTATTGTGGAATGATTTTTTCATCTCAGAGTTCAGTTTGTTTTACCCTTCAGAAGTTAAGATTTGATCTCTGCCTGA